TGTTTTGAGGGGTTTAGGGTTTAGGGTTTAGGGGTTTTTAGGGTTTAGGGTCTAGTGTTTAGGGTTTAGGGTTTAGGGTGTAGTTCAGCTCAGAAAGGCACTGGTGATGATGTCTCCCCACTAGGCCCCCAAAACCCTAAACCCCGAAGACCTAAACCCTTAGGTGAGGTGAGGTGAGGTGAAGTTCGACCAGGGCACGAGCCCGGCAGCCGGGCATGACAAAAAGGCGTCTCCTCCGGAACAAGACCAAGGATCAAGCCCCAGGGGTTTAGGGTTTAGGGTTTGGGGTTTGGGGTTTAGGGTTTAGGGTCCAGACACACAGAGGGCGCAAGGGTCAACAGCAGCGACCGACCAACAAAACCAGCACGAAACGAACGATGAAGAAACAGAGGAGGTACATCTCGAACCTTTTGAAGGTAAAAGCCGCCTAAACCCTAAACCCTAAACCCTAAACCCTAAACGCTAAACCCTAAACCCTAAACCCTAAACCCCCCCAGAGACCACAGGGAAGGCCCCCAGTCCATAGGCCAGCGTGGCCGAATGCGGACGTCTTAGGGAATGCTCAGGTCAAACGACACAACCAACGTCAAAGAGGAGCTTAGATCAGCCGGCCGGCCACGAAGACCTTACCCCTAAGGATCCATGCACCTCTAGAGTCTATACTTGGGCCCCAAAGCTGCTAAAAAGGAAGCCCTTGAAGGCCCAGTATATCCTACATAGGTGAATTGGTTACTGAGGGCACTTCATGGAGTTCCACGGGCCCGCCCCTTCAGGCCCAGGCTGCCACGAAAAGTGTGGTTGAGCTGTGGGCCAAAAGGTGCCCAGGGTTTAGGGTTTAGGGTTTAGGGTTTAGGGTTTAGGGTTTAGGGTTTAGGGTTTAGGGTTTAGGGTTTAGGGTTTAGGGTTTAGGGTTTAGGGTTTAGGGTGGCAGAGGCCGCGGTCACGAAGTAACCTCTGGAGGGACTTCCGCACTCCCTCTTGAGGAACAGGCCAGGGCAACAACACGTAAGCGCCAACAGATGGTCATCTGGGGGTTTAGGGTTTAGGGTTTAGGGTTAGGGTTTACGGTTTAGGGTTTGAGCCTCGCCACGGAAGACAAGCCACGTTGTTCCGCACGCGCTCCTCGCGAGTGCAGTGTCGAGGGCAAGCTTACGAGGTAAGGACACCTGCGCTAGCTGGACTCCACCACAGCCACCACAGCGAAAGCAGCAGGCAATCGCGGGAAGGGGCCGAATTGCACGCCCCAGCATCGAATGCGTATGGCATTCCAATTCCATGTGTCGGCTTCTTGCCCGAACGCGGTGGCTCGAGATGACAGGAGCATCTGCCTGTCGCGTCGGGCGTTCGGCTCTGATTATTCTGCAGAGCGCGGCTTGCTTGTCTGGGACGGACCGTCGCATTTCGCCCCCAAAGAACCTGGTACTCTTCTCGACTTGCGCGGGTGCTGATCTCGGTATCGTTCCAAGTTTGTCGAAACCCTCCAGAACAGAAACTCAGAAGTCTCCACTGCCAGGCAGCTGCCATCCTCAAAGAAGCAGAGGATGAAGTCCTCCAGAGCCAGGCGGACAAGGATTTAGGGGTTTGAGGGTCAGGATGTATCGCCCAAGACGCTCCAGATGGCACGCGCATGTTCACACACCGTGTGTTGCTTCTTCAAGGTTCGCACCTGAGGCAAAGTCTTGAATCTTCTCAACCCGGCAGCTTAAGTCTAAGCTCCATCCCTTCTGAGTCAAACCCTAAACCCTAAACGCTAAACCCTAAACCTCTTATGCCAAAAAGAGAGGTCAAGAGTCCTGCAGAGAACCTCATCCCAACTCAAGCCCTGAAATCCCCGAAGCTCCTAGACTTAGAGCCCCCCAAGCATCCCTGAAGCCCTTTTGAAAACCCAGAGCCCTAAACCCTAAACCCTAAATTTAAGAGCCTCCGGCTCAAGCCGCCGACCCCGCAGGAGAACAAGTTTAAGGTTTGGGGTTTGGTGATTTTGTTTGCGGTTCCTGTTAGGGGGGTGGGGGTTGGGGGGGGGGGGGGGGGGGGGGGGGGGGGGGGGGGGGGGGGGGGGGGGGGGGGGGGGGGGGTAGGGTTTTTTTCCAAAAGGCGAAACCGTCTATGGCCTGTTCCTCCACGGAAAGGAGGTTTTCACCTCCAAAAACCCATCCAACACGCCGCCAGGGTCGGCGGACCCTAAACCCTAAACCCTAAACCCTAAACCCTAAACCCTAAACCCTAAACCCTAAACCCCAAACCCCAAACCCCAAACCCCAAACCCCAAACCCCAAACCCCAAAACCAACCTCCGAAACCTCCTAAACCTCCTAAACCTCCTAAACCTCCTAAACCTCCTACACCTCCTACACCTCATACACCTCCTACACCTAAACCTCCTAAACCACCTAAACCACCTAAACCTCCTAAACCGCCTAAACCTCCTAAACCTCCTAAACCTCCTAAACCTCCTACACCTCGTACACCTCCTACACCTCCTAAACCTCCTAAACCTCCGAAACCTCCTACACCTCCGAAACCTCCTACACCTCGTACACCTCCTACACCTCCTAAACCTCCTAAACCTCCTTAACCTCCTAAACCTCCTAAACCTCCTACACCTCCTACACCTAAACCTCCTAAACCACCTAAACCACCTAAACCTCCTAAACCTCCGAAACCTCCTACACCTCCTACACCTCCTAAACCACCTAAACCGCCTAAACCTCCTAAACCTCCTAAACTTCCTAAACCTCCTGAACCTCCTAAACCCTAAACCTCCTAAACTTCCTAAACCCTCCTAAACCACCTAAACCTCCTACACCTCCTACACCTCCTAAACCCTAAACCTCCTCAACTTCTCCAGCCAGGGCGCGCTTCGATTTCCAGGGGCGGTGCCACAGCGGCTTCCGCTGGACCTGCAGCTCTTCCGCAAGGCTCGGCTGGCTTTCTGGGATGGTTTAGGGTTTAGGGTTTAGGGTTTAGGGTTTAGGGTTTCGGGTTGTGGCTCTAGGGTTTTTCAGGGTTGGTAGGGCTTGTGTAGGTTTTATAGGGTTTGTAGGTTGTTTGTGTAGGGTGTATGATAAGAGCTCTGAGCATATGATTCTGACTGCGCCTCCGCGTCTGATGTCCTACCTTGTCCAGGCTTGTGCATGGGCTGGTTTTCCTTTTCATGTTTCGCCCTTTCGGTGATTTGCCCACGTGATGGGTCGAGCGTCGCATTCTGCCTGCAACGTCTGAAATCTACGTATGATAACGTAACTATGATGAGGTAACAGCGATTTTGGAAAACGCGTTTTCGTGAGAGCTGCCCCTTCTCCCGCCTAGCCCACCCCAGCCGCCCCATCAAATATTATCCATTTGAACGGGTAAATCCTTTGCACCCCGCCGACCCTCCCTGTAGTATTCGCCCCGTGCAATACACCGCAAGCCTTGGCAGCCCTGTGGTACCGTTTTCCCTTTTTGGGGTTCAAGATTCCCGTAACCAGCCCCAGAAAGGGTACCATCATTATTATATGGTTACTGGGCTACCAAGAAACCCTAAACCCTAGACACCCTAGGAACCCTGAACCCTAAACCCTGTTTACCCTAAACCTTGTAGAAAGCACAGCATCGGGCCCTATTGTAATCATTCAGGCCCCTCCTAGTAGCCCTAACCCTAAACCCTAAGCTCTAAACCCTAAACGCTGAACCCTGAACCCTAAACCCTAAACCCTAAACCCTAAACCCTAAACCCCTCGTAGCAAACCATGCCCCTTGCAGAACTCCAAAAGCCCGTAGAAACCTTGAGTTCAAGGCACTGGTTTTCGGCACGTCCATGTAGCCCAGCGAAAGGTCCAGGAACCTTTGGCCGGTTAGGGTTTAGGGTTTAGGGTTTAGGGTTTAGGGTTTAGGGTTTAGGGTTTAGGGTTTAGGGTCTAGGGTCTAGGGTCTAGGGTTTAGGGTTTAGGGTTTAGGGCTCAGGGCTCAGGGCTTAGGGTTTTAGCCTTCCAGCAGCCGTACTCAGTGGAATCTGCCCAATGGAGGCTGTCGCGACACAGCTGGGTCCAGCCTTCAGCACCAGATGAAAAATGTGGAAAGACGACGATGCATTGGGATGTTCTTACTTGAAAGGGATTTGTGCACCCCCTCTACCGTCCCTGTTAAGGACTCTTAGAAAAGGGGGGAACATGCTAAACGATGCATGCAGCTGTTCAATCACACGATAATTACCTGACTATCGCAAGCGCTCCTGTTATCGACAAGTTCTGAGAAGAAAATCTCACACACACACACACACACACATGTCCAGCACATAGCGACATCCCCTGCGAATTCGAAGCCTCAAGCCCTTCCCAAAGCCTAAACGCGGCTGAGATGGTTCTTTTATGCTTGCCGCTGAGTCTAAAGTCAAGACTTGTGTCGTTTGAATGTTTCGCTCTTGTCGCAACAGTTGACGGGCCTTTGTTTGACATGTCGCATTGCGTTCTTCGAGTAAATTATTGTATATGTTCAACGCGCAAAGGACCTGATCTCCTACAATGCCGCCATTAGTGGGTGCGATGCGGGTGGGCAATGGCGCGCAGCGATTCATTTGGTGACTTGGGTCTCTGGGATGAACCCAAAGGGTTTGCTTTACCCAAGTTGTGTGCAGGTGCCCACATCTAGTTACAAAAACCATCGCTTGCCACACAAAGCTTTAAAAAAGCTGTAGCGAAACTCAAGTCAAAGAAAAGTATTTTGTAAGCTTACATGCAGAAACCGAGATTCTCCCGAAGAAAGTGCCGAAGTTCTCTACATTCGTCGCACATTCAGCTCTCGAGAAGAGACGAAGGCTTTTGAAGAAAGCTTATTATGAAGTCGATTCTTTGTTTGTTGGTGCTGCAGTTGCTGCCCAGCAATGCCATCAAGTCGTTCAGCAGCAGAGATGAGCTGCGAGAAAAGATCGAAATCTGGGTGAATGGGCCACAGACGGAGAAAGACGCCATCATCATAGAATATGGAGAAATCAGTCAGTGGCAAGTTTCCCAGGTGACTAACATGAGCGGAGTGGTGAAAGATCTCACAACCTTTGACGAAGATATCAGTTTGTGGAACACATCTAGTGTCACCAGGATGGACGAGATGTTCTTCCGAGCGGAAGCTTTCAATCAGCCTCTTGACTCTTGGGACACCTCAAGCGCGACCAACATGAGCAACATGTTCGCCTTGGCCAGGTCCTGCAACCAGCCCCTTGACTCTTGGGACACCTCGAGGGTGGCCAACATGGAATCCATGTTCGACTACTCATCATCCTTCAACCAGCCCCTTGGCTCTTGGGACACATCGGGCGTGATAAACATGTCCCGCATGTTCAGTGTCACGAGCCCGGGTGCAGCTATACTTTGCAACGATTTGGCCCACAGTCACATTCGGTATACTGGAGGCCGGAATCCAACAGCAAGGAGCCCGAAAAGTTCATGGCATGGTAATGAGGCACCTTCGTAGCATCAGTCGTAGCCCTGTGCACGTTACTCACGAAAGCAATCTGGCACTTCTGAGTAGGTTGCAGCTGCAAGCTCCCTTAGACAAGCTATGTGGTCTGTGGAAGAGCAAAGTCCAGGCCTGGCATACACGTCAAAACAATTTACCGATCGATGACATTTGCAAGCAGGTGCCCCCGTATCCTGATCCTACTGCAGCCCTGACAGGAGCTCAGCGGTCTGTGAGCGTGGGCGTGGGACAGACACCGAGTGAGCCCGCCCTGCTGCCATGTGAGAAGTGTCATGAGAAGTTCCAGAGCCTGCCAGAGCTCAAGCGACACCAAAGGCAGGCTCACGAGCAGGGCCCTCGTGAATTTCAACCTGACCTATTTGTCCAGGCGCGGGACGCCGTGCCAGGTACATGGAACTGTGCACATTGCGGCTGCATTCTGCAGGATCGCCGATCCCTCCGCTCGCACATTGGCTTCCAAGCATGCCCGCGGTTTGATCCGACTAAGGGGGAAGAGCAGGGAGGCATCCTGTATCAGGATGATGTCAGACAATTGAAGCTGGCTGATAGGCTTGAGGAGTTGCTTAAGGACCCGACTAGGTGCAAGTACATGACCCAGCACTGTGTCGTCTGTGCTGCTCAGATACCCTATCCGAACCGCATCAGGCAGCACATTAGCAAGTATCATCCTCAGCTCTACCCCAAAGCTGACTCTCGAGCTCAGCATCTGCATGCATCCTTCAAAGGCCGCAATCAAGCGCAAAAATGCAGCAACTGTCAGGCCTTCCTGCAAAGAGGGTTAGCCGGACACAGTTGTCCCGTCTTGCTTCAGCTCGCAGTTCTCATGACGGCCCCTGTGGAACCTGATCCTCCCAGGCCTGAACCGGCACAGATCCAGCCTCTGAGCATTCAAGCCCCTCCGCATGCGACTCCTTGTTCTAGGGTTCTTAAGGCTTCTGACTTGGCAGTGAAGACATGTCCCAGCATGACTGCCGCGCACCGCTTGGGAGTGTGCTCCAAGGCCTCTGCTGAGACCAACTCCAGCTCTTCTGGCCCTCTTGGTACTCAAGAGGCCCCACAACCCAGCAACCTGATGCAACAGGCTGTTTCGTGTGACAGGGGTGCACCTTTGCCGGAAGATATGACTCTTCCAAAGCCCTTGCAGGCACTCATGGACGATGAAAGAAGAGCGGATCCGGAGCCTCAGCCGAAAGTTCGCAAACTTGCTCCTTCCAGAAAGAAGACTCAGTTGCCATCCAGTGCGCACTTGCTTGACACCCCAGGGTATCGGCAGGCCACTTTGAACAAGTTTGCTGTGCCTTCCTCTCAAGCACCAAAGCCTTGCCCGCTTGTGCAGTTGGACTCCTTCGGATTTGAACATGACCGCAGAAGGGGAGGACCAACCCCACACCGACCTGATGGAGGTCATGGAGGGCATGCTGCCCAGCCACAAACGGTCGATCGAGGAGGACGCTCCAGCGACACACTCGAAGCTTGCGCGCGGGAAGGGCAAGGGGCATGGCAAGCCTTCAAAGAAGGCCAAAGATCTGGGCCACTCGGAGGAACTACTCCACATGATTGCTCGCCTCCTCATATCGCACGAGGATACCCTCCTAGCCATACTTCAGGAGTCGGAATTTATGCTATTCATGCAGGCCAACGGAGCGGGGAGCTTGGGTCCCACCATGTTGGCCCTGTCGCAGAAGTGGCATGCTCTGACGGCGACCGAAGCTACTCCCAAGACTCCACTACGTGTGGTGATGGGGGCTGCGGTGTTCAAGGAGTTGGAGCTGCGGGTGTTGAAGGCTATGGGCGAAGACGAGGAAGGAGCCCACATTCGCAAGAAGCTGATGACCCAGAACCTTCTAACAGCAGATGGGAAATCGTGGAACTACATGAAGTGGAACCAAGAACAGGGCAAGCTCTTGCCGACCAAGGAGGCCCCCCTACCAATGTGCGAAGCTTGTCAGATGCTCAACCGCGTGTACGCTCTGATCCAAACCCCGGGCTTGATACTCCGATTTTGTGCCCTGAAAGCATTGAAGCGGGTGGACATGGACAGCACCTCCTCCAAGTACGCCATCGTTCCTTGGAAACTTACTGTTTCCATGCGCAGCCCTCAGGCGGCCGAGCTCTTTCAGGCCTTGAACAGGCTGAGCCACAATGCGGTCATGCAAGTGATCTTATCGCGACTCAGACCAGGCAACCTGCAGAGGTCCCCGCTTGCTCAAACAATAGCAAAGCAGATCTTCAGGGACTGAGGGCGAGTGAGGACCATAGAAGCATCAAGAGTGATGCGGCTCTGCAACTTGCAGTTCTAGGCTGGAGGTGGGAAAATCCAGGTTGGAACTTGTGTTACGCGCATGCTAGTGTCAATGCTATGTCATGGTGCTGTTGTTTCACAACCTGGAATGGGGCTCTTACTGCGGATGCGAATGCGTGGCTATGGCAAGTGGCCCGCAATACCAGTAACAGCTCTACGCACACTTTGCTTCAATGTCTTCCAAGCTGTCAGTTTGCCGGGGCCTGGTGGCATGAGCATCCCCTTGGCATGCAGCAGGATGCTGCTGAGTTCACAACCCTTTATCTCGCAGCTGTGTGCGGGATGACCTCGGGAGTAGCAGAGGGGAGACAAGTTCAGCAAAGCCACGCAGTGTGTGATGTGCACCGCATGCTACTGCTGCAAGTGCCCTCCCGCCATGAAAGCTGGTTGCTGCAGGAGATCTTAGACGAATGGCACCTGCAGCACGGGCCCTTGCAGGCATTGACCGCGCCTGTGCAGCACTTGTGCCTTCGCCTTGATACTTGCAATGCTAGGGGGGTAAAAAGCACGCAGAGCATCGTCATTGGCGAAAAACTCTTGTTACCTTGCTTTGCCTCTGCTACGGATGCCTCGTCGCAAAATGCGGCCTTGGATGCCAGGAGCCTGACGCCGCCAGATCAGCACGTGCTCTGGCACGAGTACACGGTGAGGGCAGTAGTGCAGCATCATGGCCCAAGCTACAGGGCTGGCCACTACACGGCCATTCTGATTCAAGACTTTCCCAAGGCTCTGCGCTTGGATGATGCTTGTACGCCGCAGTCAATATCAGACATTCGCCAGGTTACTCATGACCACTACTTGGTATGGGTGTCGTTGGACTCCACTGAGGCGACCTCAGGATGTGCCAACCAAACAGCTGAGTCCACTGAAAATACTGGTATGGAAGATGTGATTACAGTGCGTTCGCCTTCGCCCTCACCTCAGGCGATGTCTAGCACCAGCGTCACCGAATGCCTGGGCCCTGCTTCCCCACCCATCATGCCAAGTAGGGCCTGGCCGCCTTGCATCGAGTCGCCTCCGCTTCCAGACACTTCAGTTAAGGCCAATGATAAGGTTTTGACGTCGCTCCCTGAGCTTTGCACTCGTGGAGTGCCCCGCACATTTGCAGAGGCACTGCTTAAGAAGTCAACTGAGAGTGAGACCGGCGTAGATTCCACTGAGGCTTTGATTGATGAAAGTACTAGCGCTGTCATTGGCTCGCTGTTCGGATGATGTTTGTGCGGGGGGGGGGGGGGGCTCTCCGTTTGTCTGTGTGTTCTTACTTCTAGGATGCTGGAAACGATGTTGTGGCTTGAAGCCTCTTCGGAGGAGCCACTCGGTCGTAAGCAGCGTTTTGCTTGTACAGTTAAGACTGCTCCTCGCAAGCAGCCGGGCATATATCGCTCGCTTTTCACTGGTCTGACGCAAGATAGAGGACTCTCATCTGCGTGCAAAGTCAAAGTTCAGTGTCACGAAGTTCAACAAGCCACTCGACTCTTGGAACACATCCAGCGTGACCAACATGGGCTCCATGTTCAACTACGCCACGAATTTCAACCAGCCCCTCGACTCTTGGGACACCTCGAGGGTCACGAACATGGCGAGCATGTTTCGTGGTGCTTGGGCTTTCAACCAGCCCCTCGACTCTTGGAACACATCAAGGGTGACCGACATGAGTGCCATGTTCCAGTTTACTAAGTCTCCGGCTCGAGATGTTTGTGTGAGTTTCTGTTGTCCTTAACCGTGGCTCCCGAGGCCCAAACGTGGTTTGGCTTTTTAACGGGCACAGGGCTGACGTTTGTGGCGTAGCATGATGTCGTACCTCCTCGCGCTGTGGTTCCTGTGCTGCTGGGTGGTCCGGGCTGAACCTGGCCCTATGATGCCATTCCAACCCAAAGGTGATATCCAGGATGAGATGTGGATGGTAAGGATGAGCTATCAGTATGCATGTGGTGCACCAGCATGCTGCCATTGTTTCCTGATGCATGCGCCTGATGATAGGAGCATTACCTGTGAATGGGTTGTGGGGACTTTTCGGTCTTTGGTTCCTTGCCTCATTTCACGCAAAGACGCTCAATATGCTGACGTTGCTGCCTCTTCACGGGCTGTAGCTGTACTAGTCAGGCCTCATGTAGGCAGGCCTGGCCAGAGGCTGTGTTGTCATGCTCTGGGGATGTCAGAGTCCTTGCTAGGTTCCAGCAACATGCATTGGCTGATGCAGAAAGTGTCCGTCACACATCCTGATGGTATTGATCCTTGTTACTGCGTGTCTCGATGCGCGGATCGGCAGGCACGAGCCTACCGTGACCTTTCTGCGAGACAAGATGTCATGACGAGACCTGCAAACCGAGTAGTCATTTGCCTTCCAGTGGTATTTTGGGAGCATGTGCAACCGAATGGTTTTGTGGCTGAGCCTGAACAAGGGCGCTCATGTGATGCTTGTGTATTCCCTACATTCTCTGTGTGGGCTCAAATCTGGACTCAGCCCATTGATGCACCTTGCCCGTGCCCAGCTCAGTTCCACGACATGCCTCCCATGCTCCGTTCTGCCACGCCACACATTCGACCTGGTTCATGTCTTACCGGACTTTACAGAACTAACCTTATAGAGCCGCCCGGTCCCAAGTCCGGGAATGCATTACAGATGATACCAACCAAATCTGTTCACCCTGCTCTGTTGTGCATTGAGATGAGGGTTCCTGTGGGAGGCACTACCACAGGGAGAGCCACCACTCTCACGAGTTCTCACCTTGTGTGGGCGAAACTGTGTGTCATCCAGATCCACCAGTTAGGGTGCTGCGGCACATGGACTGTGCAACATAATCTACTTTTTGGCCCCGGGTTCTGGCAGGAATGCGCCGGTGGGCGATATGACCTATGTGAGTACACTGGGGGAAATTGGGTCAACACAGGGTGGCCCTACTCGCAGTGGCTGGACCCAGGAAAAAGAGCGCAAACGGCAATGTCTTTGCTGCCGTCATGCCCCGTACCCTGCAGCTGTGCCCGGTGGTGTCCAACATCACTGCCCCTACACAGTCCTCCTACCCATCCACCATGTGTTGGTAGTACCCATAAATCTTTTGCAGGAACAGCGCACGGTTCTGCCTCTGTGCGCAGCCTGACGCTGCGAAGGGCTTACGCCTGCACGTTTACGTGGTTCATGGGTTTCTTTGGGCTTTGGGGTTGTTGCAGACCACGTAGGCCACTGTATCCAGTTTACCTCCTCTTGTACCTCGCCCTGCGAGCACAGGTGGTGCAGGCGAGTCCTGTCCTAGATGGGACGGTGGTGGACCGGCCACGGCCTGAGTCCTCGAATGTGGAGGCCTACCCAGGGTTACAACGCAATAGTGTACGTAAGCGCGCCTTGCTTCGTAGATTTCGGAGACAGGAGGTCAGACAATCCATTCATCTGTCCACCATGCCTGACCCTGAAGCTAGGAATCGACTTCGTGTTTATACATACAACGCTGGAGGTCTTGATTTCGACCGCTTTATGTCATGGGCAGAGCAGGAAGCTAAGTATGATCTGATCGTGGTAACAGAGACACGCAGACAGTTTGACGCAGAATGGTCAACCTCCACGTTCCACTGCATTCACAGCTCGGGAAAGAACGCAGGATTGCTTATCCTGGTACGCTCTAAGCTGGTTCATCCGAACCAAATCAGTTGGGTGGCCTTGACACCAGGCAGAGTAGTACACTTGTGCTTGCACGGCACGCAAACTCTCCACGTGCTTGCAGTATACCAGCATGCGTGGCAGACAGACAAAATACCTGAGTTATTGCAGCAACGCCGGGCCGTGTGGAAATTCATTTCTGACACACTTCATGGATGTCCACCTTCCAGCATGCAACTCTGTCTCGGTGACTTTAACTGTGACCTGCCGCTTCTTCCTGGCCGGGTAAGATCGGCAGCTCAGCCAGGGGCCAAGGGTCGTGCAGCGCTGCGACAGGACGCCCAGTGTTTCGCCGACCTGCTTGAGCAGGGCGACCTAGTGGCGCTCAATGCTCAACGTGCCTGGGTGCCTACTTTTGTGGGTAACCTCGGCAGAGGACTGGAGGCCTGTACTCGCATCGACTTCATACTGCTTAGCAAAAGATGGGCTGACATGACCAGTAAGCAGGCTAGCACAGTTCTTCGATCACTTCATGATGAGCACAGGTGTGGCACGTATCATAGACCTGTCGTGGCCTCTATACCTTACGCGCGGCATCGCAGGTGTCGCACACTCACCACTTCTGACTTCACTGCCAGAGACCGACATCTCTTTCGAAAGATTGCTCTGCAACCCACTGGACAGGACCGGGCTGATCTGCAAGAACTCACGAATGATGTCAGAACAGCACCGAGTCTTGACCATGCGATGCAAGTCATGACTGAGTTTGCGCAAGGTAAGACTAGACACAAACTGCCAGTGGCGGTTCGTCGGCCTAGACTTCAGGACGATAAGCAATGGCTTGCCTTTGCAGCCAACATGTGGGCGCACAGAAAGGCTGCCAAACGTGCTAGAGTCACAAATATGAGGAATATCTTTGTGGGCTGGAGGCATATGGCTGCTTTCCTGTCAGCAAGCCGAGAGTCAAGACGACGCGCCAAGGACCGACGTCGTGACATCTTACACACTTTCTTGACTCATGCGCATAAGGCCCACCTGGCACATGATGCGCACGCGTGGTATAGACACATTAACGTTCTATGTCCTAAAGAAGCTGGCAAACAAGTCCACATCCGGGATGCTAAAGGTGGGCTTCTCAGCCCTGCGGGCTCTCTTCGTTGCATTGTTACGTACTTCACTGCACTCTATGCTGATCCCCAATTCACTCCGGCATCCATTCCTGCCATCAGTATTCAGGATCTGGTGGCTGGTTTTCGAAAGCTCCCCCTTGACAAGGCCATCAGACCGGACTTGCCCCCTGCGGCTATTTGGAGACTGCTGGCTGAACCAATTGCTGCACACGTGCATCAGGCGTGCAAGGAAGCTTTCTGTGGACAGCGCCCAGCCGTCCCCCGAGATTGGGACCGCTCACGTTTGTGCTTGTTAGCTAAGCCTAATAAGTCTCCGAACTGCCCTGCCAATCTTAGGCCAGTCGCGCTTCAGCATCCAATAACCAAAGTCATCACGGGACTGTTGGCAGACCAGGCTGCCAAAGTGGCTCCGGAATACTTTGCGCCGTACCCAGTATTTGCCTACCTCAAGGAGCGTAGCACGGGGGATTGCCTGCTAGCCATAGGACAGCACCTCAGACAAACCAGTGAGCAGGTGCGCCGCCTGCGTGCTAATCGACGCCAGACACTTGGCCAGCGCGCTCTTCATGGAGGGCTGATAGTTACGCTGGACCTAACTAAGGCCTTCGATAGCATACCGAGGCAGCACATCGAGGCAGCCATTGATCGCATGAAGCTGTCAAGTACCCTGGCCAATCTGCTCAAGCTCTTTGTTGCTCATGGCGAGTACGAAGTAACTCACCGAGGGCTGAGCGAGACTTTCAGCTGTGCCAGAGGCATTAAGCAGGGTTCCAAGGAGGCACCATTTGAGTGGTGTCTGGCTACTGTGCTCATCCTTGACTGCATGATCACAAAGTATGGCCAAACATGGGTGCAAGAGCACCTTGTAATCTATGCTGATGATTTTCTCATGCGTTGGAATTACCGCGCGATCGAGGAGTTCACTCGGGCGACCAGTCAGGCTGCCGAGGTCATGCAGACCCTCACTAGTTATGGGTTGAACATCAGCCTTGAAAAGTCGGCTGCTCTTATGACTTACACAGGAGCTGGTCAGTACCGTATGCGTAAACGACACATACGCACTGTCAAAGGTACTTCCTATCTTGTATGTGTTTGCCCTGACGGCGCGGCGTTCAGGCTTCCCATTGTGCAAAAATTCGGATACCTTGGTATCACCATCAGCTATGTGAGGCCAGAGAAGCACACTTTGCAGAGACGTCTCATGGCTGCGGAATATGCGCACAAACGGATTAGGTCTGTCTTGCGTAGCTTTCGTACCCACAGTCTGAAGGCTCGCGTTGCGTTGTATTTTCAAGTGGTTTGGCCAACTCTGCATTACGGCATTCTGGAGATCGGGCTCCCAGAGGGTGGTCTTAGGAAAATACATGTCCTGGTGCTCAAACACATCCGTGCAATTGCCCAGAGTCCCTCCCACGTCACACATGAGACCACGGAACATCTACTTGGTAGGTTGAGCCTTGACACCCCGAGTGCCTTGCTTCAGCAGCTATGGCTGACCAAGACCAAGGTCTGGAGTCTTCGCAAGGCACATGCAGCGTCGCACGATATAGTACACATGATACCCGAATATCCTGCCACGCCCGCCTTTCCCTCTGCTATGAATGCGCCAGGCTCGGATACTGCTCCAGATGGAGGTGATGCGCCTTCACCCCAGCTCAGTTGCCCACAATGCAGTGCATCCTGCCAGACGCTGGCAGACCTCAAACGGCATCTACGCAGTGTGCATAAAACTGCAAAGCGCAAACTGGACCCGAGCCTGTTTCTGCCAGCCAGGGACGCTGTTCCGGGATCCTGGAACTGTGCTCACTGTGGAGCCGAAATGCTCAACCGGGCATGTTTACGTGCGCACATAGGCTTCAGTGCTTGCCCCAGCTTCGACCCAAGCCGCAGCGTACCTCGCGTTGGCTTAGCATACAGTGAAGGCATTGCTTCGCTGCGCAACCAGGGGAAGCTTCGTGATGTTCTCAAGGACAGTGCGAGGTGTCAGCAAATGACGACCACATGTGTGCTATGCAACGCTTCTGTACCGTGCTCCAATCGCATGAAGCACCATCACACCACTCAGCACGTTGCAGAGTTTGACAAGGCCCAGGCTACCGTGCATCACCTGCACACTGCGTTCAGAGGCCTTAACCGTCCAACCAAGTGTGCTCACTGTGGCGCTCATCTGCAACATGGCCTAGCTGTGCATACCTGCCCTGTGCTCATCCAACTTGCTGTGATGCTAGCGCAGCCTTCAGATGAAGATGCGGGCAAGCCTGGTGCGGAGCTCGCCTCCGCTGTGCATGTGTCAGAAAGTCAGGAGTTGCAGTTGCAGCCATCACCTCCCCTTGACACCCCCCTGCCTGCACCCCTGCAGATCCTCATGGCTTCCCAGGACAGGCTTTGGGAAGACAGGCCTGCCAAAGCTCCTCGGCTGGGGCCTTCAAGGCTCAGTCGCCGTCTGCCTGCAGATGCCACATGCCTTGACTCGCCAGGTCGGAAACAAACTAGGTTGCAGTGGGCTCGTAAGCTTCCTACTCGCCTCCAGAACCTGGACCACCTTAGCACTTTGAGCCATGGTGGGGGACCTGATGGAGGGCGACCAGTCGCACATGAGTCTGGAGGCAGCCATGACCTTGCTGCTTCCGTCGAGCGGCGTCAAGAGAGAAGCCGAGAACCAAACATCGCAGCCTGCCAAATTCCGGGCGGGCAAGGGACAAGGAACGAAGGGCCAGAACAAGGGTGCCAACAGAGCGCCACACCAGCGGAGCGAGACCACCGAGGCCCTTGCTCAGAGGGTGGACCGCCTGGAGAGGTTCATCACCCACCACGAGGACTCTCTCGGGGTGATCCTCAGCGAGACAGAGTTCTTTCTCTTTATGCAGGTCACGGGGCGTGGAAGTCTGGGGGCAACGGCCCTGTCCCTGTCAGAGCTTTGGCATTCGAAAATTGGCCAGCAGGACCCCGACCGCACCCCACTTCGCATATGCATGCTGACAATGTTTTGCAAGGAGCTGCAAATGCGCCTGCAGAAAATCGGGGCGGGAGCCACGCAGGACATGGCTATGACCAAGGAGCTCACGGCCAATGAGACTGCTTACGACGGAAGGAGATGCATGGTTGTACCTGCGCTGGGATGCACAGGCTCAGAAGCAGGTGCCAAGCTCAGCACAGCCCTTGCCCCTGGCGGAGGCCTTGCAGATGGTGGAGAGGGTGCACACTCTGGCCAAAAGTCCGGGGGTTGTGCTTCGCTTCTGTGCGCTCAAAGCGCTGACGAAAGCCAACGAGGCAGAAACGGAGGGCCAGTCTGTGGTCCCGTGGAAGCTCACTTTGTCTCTTCGGCATCCGGGCGCTCAGGAGCTCAATGGCCTGCTGAACAAGCTGTCCCATTGCGCGGTGATGCAGATCGTGCTGACCAGACTTCGCCCGGCCACTCAGCAAAGGAGCCCGCTGGCGAAACAAATCGCCAGGCCAAAGAAGTGAAAGCGTGTGAGCAGGGGATCATCGCAACTTTGCACAATAGCCTTTTTCTTAATGATGACAACCACTGCTATGCCAATGCTACAATCGTTAGTCTTGCTTGGGTTGCGAAGGGGCTTCCGGAATGCAGGGGAGTTACACAATGGCTCCAGGCATTGCTTGCTGACATCACTGCTGCCCGGGAACCATGCAATGCGGCCCATGAACCTGTGTATGTGCGTGCCATGCAGTGCTGCAGCATGCAAAACCACCTGCAATCCTGGTTCACTGCGCACCAGCCTCATCACCAACAGGATGCGGCTGAGTTTGTGTGTCTCACATTGCTACCGGCGTGTGGCCATGACTATGGGGTAGTACAGAGCCGACAACTGCATGGGCTAGCTGAGTTCATCAGTGTGAGCTGCATGTTACACCTCATTACGCCCCCAACGAGGCACCAATCCTGGAATGTGCAAGACCTGATTCGCACCTGGCACTGCTCTGACTCGGTGTCGCGGGCCCTGACTGAGCTCACGCCACTTCTATGTATACGTGTCCCTGCTAGACGTGGCCCTCTGGTCGGTTCTCAGCCGGAAATCTCTTGCCCGCATTTTGTTCAGGTCCACTGCTTCAGCCAGTTCCGTCCTAAGAATCCAGAGCAGTGTGAGTTGACAGATCTGGAAGTCAACTGGCACTCCTATCAAGTGGAGGCTTATGTCTGCCATCGTGGCGCAGACTACATGTCAGGTCATTACACTGCTCTTCTGCGCAACTCTGAGTCGACCAGTGATGACTCAGACGGGATGTTTGTGCTGCGTGATGATGCTTGTCTGCCCACAACCCTCCCCCTTTCGGAGGTGGACAAGCGAGCCGTGTATCTGATATGGCTCCGACTGCCAAGTGAGGCGTTGCAGGGCCCGCAGTTGCACCCACAGTCAGAAGCTGTCATCATCTCGGATGAAGAGCAGCAGGATGTGACAGATACTGACTTTCCAGGCCTCAGACTCACTTTCTTGGAGCCTGCTGCCCAGGAACCATTTGCAGCCACAGAGTCCCCTACGCAGACTGTGTGCACTTTGACCCGAAACGAGCCTGCCGCCGTGTCACACTTGGATGCTCAGGTTCACTCAGTGGAGTCGCTGACAGACATTCCAGCCAGCACATCCGTGCAAGACCTTGTGGGCAGGTTCTTTGGATAGGGGTTCTTTTGGGTTCCCACACTGTGCGTTTGGCGTGGTCTTACTGCTTGGAAGTCCGGCGGTGGGCGCTTGCCTGTCGGCTCTGCTGAGTACGTGGCACTTGGGGAGGTCTTACCTCCTCAAGGGCGCTCCACTTCCGGCTTCTTGTGCCTGCTGGCGGCCAGTCTTTTCGGTCGTGACAGGGCAGGGCAGTGTAGATCGCCACTGAGCGGGGGTCTGTAGCTCGTAGGCAAGTAGTGTACACTTTGACCATCATTTTTAAACCATGTCCTCTGCTGGATGCGATGTACCTCGACGCTCATTGGAACCAGCGTGGCCACCTGGCTCGCCGCTTGTAGCCCCTACGGGGGAGTGGCCTTGCTAGGACAAGTAGCTTTTTCTGTTGTACAGTTCGAGACTGCCCCTTTCAGTTGGCAGCCGAGACGACTCGTCTCGCAGTAGGATCTGACGCTAGCTGAGACTACCCTCATCGCTGCGTGTCAAGTCAAAAAAGTCAAGTTCCAGTTTACTAGAAAATTCAACCAGCCCCTTGACTCTTGGGACACGTCAAGGGTGACGGACATGGGCAGCATGTCGTTGGACTCCACTGAGGCGACCTCAGGATGTGCCAAGCAAACAGCTGAGTCCACTGAAAATACTGGTATGGAAGATGTGATTGCAGTGCGTTCGCGTTCGCCCTCACCTCAGGCGATGTTAAGCACCAGCGTCACCGAATGCCTGGGCCCTGCTTCCCCACCCATCATGCCAAGTAGGGCCTGGCCGCCTTGCATCGAGTCGCCTCCGCTTCCAGACACTTCAGTTAAGGCCAATGATAAGGTTTTGACGTCGCTCCCTGAGCTTTGCACTCGTGGAGTGCCCCGCACATTTGCAGAGGCACTGCTTAAGAAGTCAACTGAGAGTGAGACCGGCGTAGATTCCACTGAGGCTTTGATTGATGAAAGTACTAGCGCTGTCATTGGCTCGCTGTTCGGATGATGTTTGTGCGGGGGGGGGGGGGGGCTCTCCGTTTGTCTGTGTGTTTTTACTTCTAGGATGCTGGAAACGATGTTGTGGCTTGAAGCCTCTTCGGAGGAGCCACTCGGTCGTAAGCAGCGTTTGCTTGTACAGTTAAGACTGCTCCTCGCAAGCAGCCGGGCATATATCGCTCGCTTTTCACTGGTCTGACGCAAGATAGAGGACTCTCATCTGCGTGCAAAGTCAAAAAAAGTTCGATTATGCTAGTGTCTTTAACCAGCCCCTTGACTCGTGGGACACCTCCAGGGTGACCAGGATGGACGGGATGTTCAGCGAAGCCCTATCCTTCAACCAGTCCCTCAACTCTTGGGACACGTCAAGCGTGACGAACATGACCGTCATGTTCAACGATGCCACGTCCTTCAACCAGCCCCTCAACTCTTGGGACACCTCGAGGGTCACAGACATGGCAATAATGTTTCGTGGTGCAGAGAATTTCAACCAGCCCCTCGACTCTTGGGATACATCAAGGGTGACCGAGATGAGCGACGAGGCCACGTCTTTCAACCAGCCCCTTGACTCTTGGGACACGTCAAGGGTGACTGACGTGTTTGGCATGTTCTCACGCGCCACGTCTTTCAACCAGCCCCTTGGATCTTGGGACACCTCCAGTGTGACCAGGATGGACGAGATGTTCTACCAGGCCACGTCATTCGACCAGTCCCTCAAATGTTGGGACACTTCCAGCGTTACAAACATGCAAGAGATGTTCTTCGGGGCTACAACTTTTAGCCAATGTGGTTTTTGCTGGGACACATCAAGTGTGACCAACATGGATGGCATGTTTGTTGGCAGCGCTTGCCCAATTGGAACTGCGTTGGACGGGGACTGCGGTGGGTGCCGCAGAGGACTTTGGTGTGAAAAAGTGGATGCCCTGGATTACGCTTTGGCTAACAAGAACCAAAATTGGCCGTGAAAAAGTGTTTGAAGAAGTCTTTGATCCACTCTTTGGTCCAGGACACTGGCTTTCGGGGCAAAATGCTCACATCAAGCGATGTGACCGCAAAGACCCCATTGCTCACCTGCCTTCTTTGCGTTGTCATGGTCGCCGCAGGTGCGATTCTTTGGCGAGGCAGGCGGCGGGGCTCCTATGAAGAGCTGCAAGAGGCAGTTCGGGGAGATTTGTCCATAGAGCTGACTTAGACGACCTTTTGCAAGAGCATGCTCGGTAAAGACTGCAAGCTCCAGTTCACGTGTGCTGAAAAGATTTGAAAAGGTGATCTTTCTATTCTTGTCCGAAAACATAAGCAAAGTCCGCAGATTTGTGCAATACGTTGCCGGGTTTCGTAGGCCCCGAACCATACAAGCCCTAACTTGATGCGTGGCACAAAGTTAAGAAGGCGCTTGTGCAGGGAGATGGATCATGGCTGCAAGTTTTCTTGCAAGTTGGTCTTGCACATGTTGCCCTCCAAATCATGTGTCCATCCTCTTCTGATGACTTACCATGCGGCTGCTTTATTCGGGGGGGTGATGATGCATGTTTAGACAAACCAAAGGTTGGTTCATGTCATGTCCATGCCATTTTCGTGCTGAATACGTCCAGCAGCAACAACAAGTCGAACGAATGAGTTGGTTTCCTCCCCCAACAGGCACACAACAAACACGTTGTTTTCTACGAATCTTATAGCCCATGCCAGACTAAACAACTCATGCGGTACTCAGCAAGAGCAGGTCGTGTAGATGAGCCGGTGTGTAAAGCTATCTAGCCTTCCTCGAGACCGCACAAGCAGTCCACTCACTTGCACGCTTTTCCTTCCAGCGGGCGAACAAGACCATGAACCTTGCATTTTACGGGATTTGGCGAACATTCAGTCAAACTTCACACAGAGTTAGAATAGGGAGTCTGCCCCGAGCCCGGTTTGTTGAGCCATGGCGCTTTCCAGCCAGCGGCTGCCGTGGACCGTGGCCACTGCCACTGCCTTGAAACCATTTGGCCATAGGGTTCACACTTCTGACATCTGGTCCCTTTCTCTGCAAGGGGCCGCATCATGCCAGGGGCCCCTACAAGGGACCCGAATATAGGGAGAACTGACTACGTATCTAGGTTGGGGTGGGCCCTAGATTTCGGCTCTTTTTCGCGGTTTGCTGTGGACTATCTATACCCTGATGATCGCCGTTGTCTGTGTTCTTTGCCCCCTGTCCCACTCAAAGACCGATTGACTCAACCTCAGTAGCTCGGCCCAGCTCACGCTTGGTGCATTCCGCAAACGGGTTTGCAGCCCTCCGAGTTGCCCCAGTCCACGCCTGCCGCGTGTTTCAGAGTCGCAAGGCCCATAGTGGGATCCTAAACCCTAAACCCTAAACCCTAAACCCTAAACCCTAAACCCTAAACCCTAAACCCTAAACCCTAAACCCTAAACCTTCTAAGGATTCTATAAGGCTTGTAGGGCCTAGGGGGGCTTCGGTCTGTAGAGGTGAGAGTGTGGATTTGCAGGCCCGATAGGCAGTTGAAAGCCCGAACAGAGAAGTCGGATCCTCTACTCCAAGCCCTGGAGCTCCTAGACCCTGAACCGTAATTCCTATGGTTTAGGGTTTGGGGTTTAGGGTTTCGGGTTTAGGGTTTAGGGTACCCTACATCCCACAGCCTCAGAACCCCAGGTCAGAGCAGGACAGCAGGGTGTAGGACTCCTTCCAGTCGAAGTTTTTGCGGTTTCTTTCCAAACACGGGTTGAAGCGACTTGTCTCAGTGCTGTCATGGTCCCTAACTCGCACCCCAAACCCCAAACCCCAAACCCCAAATCCCAAACCCCAAAAAACCCCAAACCCCCAAAAACCCCAAACCTCAAAAAACCCCAAACCCCAAAAAACCCCAAACCCCAAAAAACCCTAAACCCTGACGCGTCTTACGAACTCGCAAGCCATGTTCCCTTGCTTTTCTGAGCCTCTAGGCGAGCCTCCTTGGCGCTGCCGCCGAGCCTCTGCTTCATGCAGGGGCCTTCGAGGCCTACCCAGGCGGGGACTGACATGGCAAGCGCGTGACCTTTCGATGTTTAGGAAGACCGTGAAAGGGACGCGAATGACTAAACCCTAAACCCTAAACCCTAAACCCTAAACCCTATGATGAAGCCCATGAGCATGGGGACCGCTTCGAGACCTCCCTGACAGCAGGCTATGGAGGCATTCTCGTGGTGGAAGGCTCCGTGAACATCTCTGCAGCCGCCAACTTGGACACTCAGGTCCCAGCCCCAGCACCTCCCAGACACTCCAAAACCCCTTAATTAAGCAATATGCCTTAAGTTATAGTAGGAACCCTAATATGATTTATGATATGTTCCTGAATTAAGGGGTTTTGGAGTCTCTGGGCTGTTGGCCGGTTCTTAGTAGGGAATGAGGGAATGAGGTACCCTTTATCATCCCTGAAAGGCTATGTATGGGGGCCCTACTTCCCTCATTCTTCTGAGACCCAGGGGGCCTTGCAACCGCGTTGCAACAAGTGCAGGCTCATTCTCTTCCTTGAGCGCGCCGTCCCTCTGAAAGAGTGTGGGCCCAGCTTAGCCATCAAGCCGAGGTTGTTTCCTACGCCTTAGGCGGCCTGGATGCCGAGTGTGGCGTGCGCAACTTGGCAGGCGCAGTGGTCAAGCCAGCAGTTGGAGAGAGCGAGAGAGAGAGAGAGAGAGAGAGACAGAGAGAGCGAGAGAGAGCGAAAGAGAGGGAAGAACCTGAGCGAGAGCAGAAGAAGGAAGGAAGCGAGAGAGAACGAGAAGGCTGTTTTTTTTTCAGAGTGAGATTGTCTTGACTTTCACAGTGGCTCTACGTCCAGCTTGCTTAAGCAAGATTCGGCAATGCCATGGAAGATTGCGCGCCAACCTTCTCTGCTTGTGCATGAAGTGACCATACATAGCAGATTTAAGCGCAGTGTGGACACCACATCCTGCGTTCTCTCTACCAAGGCAACATCTCTCAGGTCCCAAATGCCTGTGGACTGCATGCAACTTGGCGGCAAACAGCGCACGTGCTGTTTGTGTGTGTGTGTGTGTTTTTGTTTTCAGCCTTTTCGAGCTTTGCCATTCCCAGTTCCTTCTGCTGCAGGAACGCTGCAGTCACATGATGCCTGAAGGTTTCTTGAGCATGCCTGCGTCACGGGATCAGAGACCCCGACGCCCCAAACCCCAAACCCCAAACCCTAAACCCTAAAACCTAAACCCTAAACCCTAAACCCTATAAACCCTATCAACCCTATAAACCCTATAAACCCTATAAACCCTATAAACCCCAAACCCTAAACCCTAAGCCCTAAACCCTAAACCAAACATGGCAGGGTCGTTTAGGCTGGCGGCCTCAACCCCTCTACAACTTGGAATGTTCTCCCTTATAGTACCCCCTATGATATTCCCTATGAAGGGGCTGTTAGTACAATGAACATCCCCCTCCACAACTCTTATTACTCACTCTTCGAACCCTCTTAAAACCTAAACCCTAAACCCTAAACCCTAAACCCTAAGCCCCTAGGTGCATGAAGGCACCTCTTGCTCCAGTGCCGGAGGCCTGGGGAGTAGGTGCTTGGGTAGAAGTAGGAGCGGATGGAGTTTAGGGTTTGGGGTTTTAGGGTTTAGGGTTTTAGGGTTTAGGGTTTTAGGTTTTTAGGGTTTAGGGTCTGGGGTTTTAGGGTTTAGGGTTTTGGGGTTTAGGGTTTTAGGGTTTAGGGTCTGGGTTTAGGGTTTTGAGGTTTTTTTTCGGGTTTTGAGGGCTTGTCGGGTTTTTGGGGTTTCTGGTTTAAGGAGGCGAAACGTGGGTAGGGTTTGGGGTGTAGGGTTTTAGGGTTTGGGGTTTGGGGTTTGGGGTTTAGGGTTTAGGAGTGCTTGTGCCCCTCAGGGCTTCCCTTAATAATACTCCGAATATGGCCCTGACATGTATTTCGGGATCTTAAAGAAGGGGGTCCCCAAACCCAAGGGTATCACCTTAGGGGTCCGAGGTAGAGTCCCTTGAGTTTAGAAGTCTAGGGCTTAGCTCCCATATTTAGAGGGCTGATCATGTAAGGAACAGAACCAGCTTGCCCAGAAGCATGCTTCGGACCTCATGTCACCCTAGGCCCTAAGCCCTGGACATGCCAGGTTTTGGGGGCGGCTTTTTGGGGTAAACCCTAAACCCTAAACCCTAAACCCTAAACCCTAAACCCTAAACGGCTCCGATCGGAATCATTTTGTTTTGGCTCTCTCCCCACCTATGCTTGAAGCGTTGATGGCTTCGGGTTCGACATCCGGGTAGCTCCGTCAAGTCGGCGCATCCTTTTGCCCCGAGTGCCCTGTTCTACACTCGAGTCTCTTAGAGGGCACCGTTTACAGTCGAAGCCGCTGGCGAATCGGAGGCTTGCGACTTTTGGGACCCTAAACCCTAAACCCTAAACCCTAAACCCTAAACCCTAAACCCTTAACCCTAAACCCTAAACCCTAAACCCTAAACCCTAAACCCTCCCGATGATCTCTTGGAGGACACTTCTGGAATTCGTCCCTGCTGGCTGATGATCCCTGGGCCCATGATGTGATCTACAATGCCTCCTTGGATGGCTCAGCAACTGGCCAAGGGACACTCGGCAACACTCTCTCTCCCACAAGAGAAGACGCCCGAGAATGTAGGGCTCGGAATAGTTGCGAAAAGTTATGGTCTCTATATAAATGTACGATAATACCCCCCCCCCCCCAGAACCCTTCTCTAACTATTGAGGCCCCTATGTTACACAGCTTTTTTTTCTGGCTGTTTCCGGCACGCTGGCCTTCATGCCAGGTGAGTTGCAGGGAGTTGAGGCAGTTTCGGGTTTAGGGTTAAACGCTTCTGCAAGGCAAGTTGCCACGGGCCTCTCCTTGGCCAGCATGCGTGACAAGGCAACATGGCCAGCAGCATGGTCTTGAGTGGTCCAGGGCCCGTTCAGTAAGACTCGCCGGGCAGACCTCTTCCTGTTTCGCACGAACGTCGCTCAGG